TTTTTTTGAGATGGAGTTTCGCTCTTGTTGCCCAGGCTGGAGTGCAATGGCGCAACTTCTGCCTCCTGGGTTAAAGAGATTTTCCTGCCTCAGCCTCTCGATTAGCTGGGACTACAGGCCTGCGCCACCAAACCTGGCTAATTTTGTATTTTTAGTAGAGACAAGGTTTCTCCATGTTGGTCAGGTTGGTCTCAAACTCCCAACTCAGGTGATCCCTCTGCCTCAGCCTCCCAAAATGTGGGGATTACAGGCACGAGCCACAGGGCCTGGCCTAAGGCTTGTTAATTCTAAATAATCAACAGTACCCTCTCACACAACAATAATTCAGAACCAAGGAGAGTGCACACAGGCATTGGAAGGTCTCATCTAATATGTTAATCACATTTGACCTGAAAAGAACCTTGTATGAAATCTAGTTATTCCTTCTGTAAATATTAGTATTTATTATGTGCCAGGAAGAATATGGGGTTCTTGGAATACAGTGGTGAAAAAGCGGACAGTTATTCTCTGTTACATTTCTGATACATGGTACAATGTATATAACTCTTCTTTGACTGGGTACATTTGGATATGCAAAGTTGAGCCACCTCGAAGCCATCTCTGGAGTTGGAAAATAGGTCCATCCTATCACATGAGGATGAATCACATACAACTTGAAACTGAAAGCCCTCATTGACCTGTGGAGGCAGAAGGATCACTTGTGGCCAGGAGTTACAGACAAGCCTGGGCAACATAGTGAGAACCTGTCTCTACAAAAAATTTAGAAATGAGGAAGGCGTGGTGACATGTGCCCGTAGTCCCAGCTACTTGGGAGGCTGAGGTGGGAGGATCACTTGAGCCTGGGAGTTCAAGGCTGCAGTGAGATACATCTGCACCACTGCGCTCCATTCTGGGTAACAGAGTGAGACCTCACCTCTAAAAGAAAAAAACAAAAACAAAAACAAAAACTAGAGCCAGATGCAGTGGTGCATGCCTGCCTGTAACCCCAGGACTTTGGGAGGCTGAAGCAGGTGGACTGCTTGAGCTCAGGAGTTCCAGACCAGCCTGGGCAACATGGCAAAACCCCATCTCTAGAAAAAATACAAATATCCAGGTGTGGTGGCACATGCCTGTAATCCTAGCTACTCAGGAGGCTGAGGTGGGTGAGCCCAGGGATTGAGGCTGTAGTGAGCCAAGATCATGCCATTGCACTCTAGCCTAGGTGACAGAGTGAGACCCTCTCTCAAAAACAAACAAACAAACAAACAAACAAACAAACACCACCACCACAACAAAAACCAATCAGGGTAATCATTTAATACTGCAGCTGCCTGGGGTGGAGAAGAAATCCATCTAGGGCAGGCAAGAGGGGAGCCAAAAACCAAGTGGCTTGCTAAGTACAGAGATAAGAAGTCCAGGGAGGAGATGTGACTAGCCTGAGGTCACAGACCTGGCCAGAAGAGGGCAAATGCCTCCCGTATTCCTTGAGTGTTCTTTTCTTTCCTTCAATGATGGGTAAAGCCTAGGAGAACTAAGCCACCTTCTCCCAGTCTGAGAAAGTTCAGTGATAAATCACCTCTAAGCCTTCTGATTCCCAGGGAAGAACCCAGGTAAGGAAGTGGGAGCTCCCACCCCAGCCCCAATGACCAGGGAGCTTTACCATCCACAAGGACACTGTTCCTGTCCAGGGTGAAGTTCTGCAGCTGGGTGCCATTCTGCGTCATCCGCAGGAATTCCTCGTAGATGGCAATTCTGTCTATCCTCCGAGCCAGTGGTGAGAAGTTACACAGAGAGTCCACCCCGGTGTGGCTGCTACTGGGGACGGACCTGGAAGGGGACGAGGGATAAGCCAAGATCCCTGCAATTCTATCAGGATTCTAGGCTTCCTCCTTCTTGGCTCTTTCTGCAGGAACTTTCTGCAATGATGTAAACATTCTATGTCTGCACTACCCAGTGCAGCCATCAGTAGCTTCAAGTTGTTGTTAAACACTTAAAATGTAGCTAGGATGGGAGAAGAACTGCATTTCTAATTTTATTCTGCTTAATTTATTTAAAAATAACCACAGGGTGGTCAGGCGCGCTAGCTCATTCCTGTCATCCCAGCACGTTGCGAGGCCAAGGTGGCTGAATCACTTGAGATCAGGAGTTCAAGACCAGCCTGGCCAACACGATAAAACCCCATCTCTACTAAAAATACAAAAATCAGCTGGGTATGGTGGCGGGCACCTGTAATCCCAGCTACTTGGGAGGCTGAGGCAGGAGAATCGCTGGAACCCAGGAGATGGAGTTTGCAGTGTGCTGAGATTATGCCACTGCACTCCAGCCTAGGCAACGGAGACAGACTCTGTCTCAAAATAATAAAAAAAAAAAAGATAAAAATAAACAACAGTCACAGGGAGAACATTCCTGGAATGTTGGGGTAATGACGTCTGAATATCCATAAAATCAATGAGAACGTTGTTCAAAATAGTCAAAATCAACTTTTTCAGAAGCCTAGAAATGAACCAAAGGCTTGCAAAAATTTGAGGGGTGTTTGGTTAAGGAAAGTGTTAAATCTCAGTAAAAAAAAGCAAGACTTGTGGCATTTTAACTCACATTATTTTTATAGTGCTCTTTCAAGATCCTCAGTATTTTTTTTCTTTTTTTTTTTTTTGAGACAGGCTCCGGCTCTGTTGCCCAGGCTGGAGTGCATGGCGCCATCTCAGCTCCCTGCAACCTCTGCTTCCTGGGCTCAAGCCATCCTATCTCAGACTTCTAAGTAGCTGGGACTAAAGTGCACACCACTATGCCCAGCTGATTTTTGTAGTTTTTGTAGAGATGGGGTTTCACCATGCTGCCCAGGCTGGTTTCAAACTCCTGAGCTCAAGCCACCTGCCCGCATTGGCCTCCTAAAGTGCTGGGATTACAGGTGTGAGCTACTGCATCTGGCTAGATCCTCAGTTATTTTGAAAACCAGCAGCCTCAGAATCATGATACCTGTGAAAACCGGCTGCCTAGCAGTAGCTTTGGAGTTCTCCAGCCGTCAGTCCTGTTTGGCAGCTCCTTGAAAAAGCCTTATTCTCACAGCTTGTCTTTATTTGGTCTGACTCAGAACTTGCTTAGGGAGGAAAGCCTGTTCTGAGGACACTTGTCAAAAAAAAATGTCAATATTCCCCCATTGGAAATAATACCCCTTATTGGAAAGGACAGTTAGGCTGCTGGATACCAAGTCATCTGGTTTTAGTCCCCTCCTTCCCCCATCTTCCATGATCCTGATTTCAGTAGCTGATGTCTTTTTTTTTTTTTTTCCCTCAAGACAGAGTCTCACAATGCCACCTGCGCTGGAGGGATCTCAGCTCACTGCAACCTCCACCTCCCAGGTTCAAGCGATTCTCCTGCCTCAGCCTCCCAAGTAGCTGAGATTACAGGCTCCCACCAGCACTCCCAGCTAATTTTTTCTATTTTTAGTAGAGATGGGGTTTCACTATGTTGGCCAGGCTGGTTTTGAACTCCTGACCTCAAGATCTGCCCACCTCAGCCTCCCAAAGTGCTGGGATTACAGGCGTGAGCCATTGTGCCCAGCCAGCTGATGTCTTAATGTAGTAGATTCTACACTCTAGATTCTACAGCCTCAGCACCATAAAAAAAAAAAGTATGTAAAAATCCACTAACTCAGGTATAACCTTAAGAAAAAAAAAAATCCACTATCAAGGGGTGGGGGTTCAAGAAAGAGATTATTGCAGCTAGCCTACTTATTCCTGGCAGTGTGAGCTGAGCTAGGTTTTTGAAGCTGGGATAAAGGGGTTTAGGTAACAGCTCTATATTGGAAGGAGTGTCTTCCTCCATCCGTCTGTCCAACTTGTATCCATCCACCCATCTACCTGTCCATCTCTCTTTCTACCAAGCATTGTAATAATTCCCTACAATGTGGGTGAAAAGAGACTGGGTTTCTCTGGGGGTGTAGTCAGCAAGCTGAGATTTACACTGGCTCTCTTGAGTGTTGAAGCCAGTTGGGCTCCAGCTTTAGGAAAAAGCTGGTTTTTAGGTAACAGCTCTATATTCCTAGGGCTCTCTTCCAACAACGTTATGGCTTGGGGACAGTTCTATTTAAAGGATGGGAGAAGTTCCCAGAGTCATCAGGTCCTGAGTTAGAACTCACCTGAATGTTAAAACTTGACAGTCAGAAAAATAACTCTTGATGCTGCTGTTTCGGAAGACTTGGTTGAGCTGAAAGACAGGGTGATGTTTCTTAGGTCAGATTCCTGGCCCCGGTAGCACTGGAGAATTTTCAAGCCACTGAGCACACTTCTCCATCTATTTTTTTTCTTGTCATGACAAACACTTGCACAGGTGTGTATGTCAAAAGACATGCTCTTCTAGGGTATGACTTAGCTGTGTGACCTTGGATCAGCTACTGAACCTCTCTGTGCCATCTTAAATGGGAATAAGAACCTGTTTTTGTGGATTATTTTTAAAAGTCACCCTGTGGCTACCCAGTATGCATAAGTGGGTTTCTGCACGGAAACAGAGTGGACACACCACCCCCTTCTCACCGCATCCTCAATATTCCTTTTGTTCCTCTGGTAATTGGCAGTGCCTGGGTGGGCTCCGTCCTGGGAATACGGTAGGTTGGTGATGGTGAAATTCAGGGGGAAGTGCTGGGTGCTGGAACTGCTCGTGGGTTGATACACTGATGACTCCATTTCTAGAATTTAAAAAAAAAAAGTATGTAAAAATCCACTATCAAGGAGTGGGGGTTCAAGAAAGAGATTATTGCAGCTAGCCTACTTATCCCTGGCAGTGACAGCTGAGCTAGGTTTTTGAAGATGGGAGAAAGGGTTTTAGGTAGCAGCTCTATATTGGAAGGAGGGTCTTCCTCCATCCATCTGTCCAAGTTGTATCCATCCACCCATCTATGTGTCCAATTCTCTTTCTACCAAGCCTTGTAAAAATTTCCTACAACATGAGTGAAAAGAGACTGGGTTTTCTGTGGGTGCAGTCAGCAAGCACAGGTGCTGACCAAGCCAGCAGGCATCTACTACACATATTTGCTGAGTCTTCTGATGATCTTTGTTCTTAAAGGGTCTTCCTGCCTTTGCTCTTCTCTCCCCATTCACCCTCCATTCTGCACACAGCACCCAGAGGATAAGCAGAATTTTTTTTTTTTTTTTTTTTTAGATGGAGTCTTACTGTGTCACCCAGGCTGGAGTGCAGTGGCATAATCTTGGCTCACTGCAACCTCCACCTCCTGGGGTCAAGTGATTCTCCTCCCTCAGTCTCCCGAGTAGCTGGGACTACAGGTGTACGCCACCACGTCTGGCTAATTTCTGTACTTTTAGTAGAGATGGGGTTTCACCATATTGGCTAGGCTGATCTTGAACTCCTGACCTTGTGATCCACCCGCCTTGGCCTCCCAAAGTTCTGAGATTACAGGCATGAGTCACCAGACCCAGCCTCATTTCACTTTCTAAAGCAGAACTCATAAGTGTGTCACGTTCCTCCCTAAGCCATTCCAGTACCTAACAAAGTCTCTGCCCATATCTTTGGCTTCAACAGTCACCTCTCCAATATCAAAGTGGATACTCCAGCTCACCAATCTTTTTACAACTTCCCCCAGAATGCCATATTCTATCTTCTAGGCTATAGACGCATGGAGCACAATTCTCCATCTGCTCCCCGTGGCTAGGTCCCATTCTCTGTCAGATCTCAGCTTCATCATCCCTTCCTAGAGACAACTTTCCAAGACAAGGTTGTGTGTCCCTCCCTGGGGCTCCTACAGGCTCCTGAAATTCCCTTAGCATAGCAATTATCACACTGTATCATCAGCGCTTGTTTACTTTCATTGTTTATTGAATGAATGAATGAATGAATGCATTGATTTATTGATTCATTCATTCAAAATAATTTTTTTTTACATGTAAAAATAGCTGTTCTCTTAGGTGCAATGGCTGAGTGTTCTGTTCCTGCCCTGTTAGATAATCTACTGCCAGCGGTCATCTACATGGGTCTCCAGGAAGCCTCCCTTTCCCTCTATGGAGCCTCCACCAATTCCACTGGTACTGAGAAGCCCCATCTTTCCTCATAACCCCACTCCTTCCAGTTATGAAACCAGCCACCCGCCTTGTACCTGTCACATGCATGTCCATCAACTGGTAGGTGGTTCCCAGCCAATGGGATGAGGCATTCAGGGTTTTATTTAGAAATACTTGCTCCACAAGGCTGGGATCCAGATTGGAGGAGAACAATGCCTTGACTGTGACCAACATGGAGCCCATCCTAGGGACAGAGATCACAGGAATTCAGCTGGTACTCAGCAGCAGCAGCAGATCATGGGTTGCTGTTTTTAAAGAGCCAAAGGCCTAGAGGCAACTGGTGGCAGGCGTGGGGGGTGCCCAGCTGCCTAGAGAAGGGTTCTGATAAAAATGGGAACCCTTTGGCTGGGTGAGGTGGCTCATGCCTGTAATCCCAGCACTTTTCCCCTCTTGATTTCTGCTTTTTATTTTATTGTATTTTATTTTTGAGATAGAGTCTCACTCTGTCACCCAGGCTAGAGTGCAGTGGCTTAATCTCAGCTCATTGCAACCTCCTAGGCACAAGTGATCCTTCCACCTCGGCCTCCCAAGTGGCTGAGACTACAGGGGTGTGCCACCATGCCTGGCTAATTTTTGTATTTTTTTGTAGAGACTAGGTCTCCCTATGTTGCCCAGGCTAGTCTTGAACTTCTGGGCTCAAAAGATCTGCCCTCCCTGGCCTCCCAAAGTGCTGGGACTATGGGCGTGAGCCACTGCACCAAGCCTACTTTTGATTGCATTTGTTTTTAATTGTTGTGGGTACATAGTAGGTGTATATATTTATGGGGTACATGAGACGTTTTGATACAAGCATACAATGCATAATAATCACATCAGGGTAAATGGGAAATCAATCTCCTCAAGCATACATCCTTTGTTACAAAGGATTGTTACAAACAATCCAAGCATACACTTTTAGTTATATTTTAAAATGTACAATCAAATTATTTTTGACTACAGTCACCCTGTTGTGCTAGCAAATACTAGGTCTTATTCATCCTTTCTATTTTTTGTTCCCATTAACCATCTCTATATCCTTATTTGAAATACAAAAATCTTTGAAGTTTAGAAATATGCAGTCAGCCCTGTGTCCTGTGACCCTCCTCTTCCCAAGTGTAGATATCTTCATTCCTTCACCCAGTCAACAGAGACCTGCCTTCAAATCTCAACTTTGATGGATTTGGGAAATTCACTTTTCTGACCCTCAATTTTCCCATCTGCACAAAAGGGATGATCTTTGCCCTCAACTCATAGAGACTATTGTGAGAATTAAATGAGAGGAGGCTGGCTGATGTTAGTTATTATTATTGGGCTATGATTTTGAGTTCTACATCAAAAAGTTATCTTTTCCCAAGTGTCCAGGAAAAAAAAGAAGGTGGATGCTGGGAGTTGGTGGCTGCATGAGGTTAATCCTCACCTGCTACCTTGAGGATTTATGGGAGGAGATGGTAGGATTAGCTAACAGGGATGTAGGGGAGAATGGGTTCCCCGGTGGGGACGTGTAGCTCAAGGGTGCTCAGAGACACAGCCACAAGCTTGCCTGCTGCTTGCGATCTTCAGAACTTACGTCAAGTTGGTGACAAGGCAGAAGCGGAACACGTCGTGCAGTTGACTGCCTTTGTAGAGTGTGGTGACCTAAAAGGAGGGGAAGTGGGTGAGATGGAAGTCTCTTGGGTGTGGAGGGGCCACTGATGCCAGTGGAAAAAAACACAGGACTCGGAGCAAAGGGGACCAGAGTTCAAATCCTAACTCTGCTCCTAAGCCACAATGTGACCCTAGGCACACCACACCCCTTTCTGAACCTCAGTTTGCCCATCTGGAAAATGGGGATGGTAGTCAAGAGAGCACCTTTGGAAACAGAGAGAACCTAGAACATGTAGGTGAAGCGAAGCATTTGAAATCATCACTTAGTAGACAAGTCAGGTGGAAGAGGGAGAAAGGCACACAGGGCAGGGGAGATGGGAGGGTGAGAGATGCCTCACCTTGTCCTGGATGTCCCTCAGCAGGGCGATGTACTCTGAGGATGTTGGGTCTGGATTACTGAGGTTCCAGTTGACGATGCGGAAATTTATCTGGTACTCACCCTGGATTGATGAATTCTGGGGTGCGTAGCCTGGAGCCACAGAGAAGAAAACAAGACCACAGATGGGTGGGCAGATGTTGATCACAAAATGCAGAGCCAGCAAGGCCCAGGGGTCCCCTCCCTACTGTCAGAATCAGTCCATTTCAGGTCCACATGCTGGGTATTGCAGGAGCTCTTAGACAGAAAGTTGCCCCGAAGAGAGGGAAATCTGGAATTTTTCATGGATTCTCCTGAGCAGAGCTTTCCTGCAGTGCTATGCAGTTTCCACTTCTAGGAATACATCCTTTTCGTTTCCTGCAAAACTTCTGTTCGTGCTTCAAGAGCCCAGTGAGAGGGAGCTCCAGGACAGCAGGGGCCCATGTCTGTCTTATTCACTATTGTGTCCTGGTGCTTAGTACAGGGCTGGGCATGTAACACCCTCCTCCAGGAAGCCCTCCTTGATTCACTCCACCTCTCAGCTCCCATAGTACCCTGTTAATAACAGCAGTAGGGTCTTTACTGTGCTTCTGATTTTTGGTTCACTCAAGCATGAGTTTTTCAGAGACAGAAAAATGTGTCTTCTACCTCCAGACCCAGCACAAGGCTTGGGGCAGAACAGCCACATATATATGTTTGCTGAATGAATCAATGTGTGTTGCAGCAGAGATACTAATCTTTCATTTGCTCACACATTCAATGATTCATTCAATACTATGATGTGCTGATGTGCTGAGAATTGAGGGTACAGCGGCACTCGTACCCTACTTTTGTTGAGCTCACAGGGTAAAGGGGAATCAGAAAATTTATTTTTTATTTTATTTTATTTATTTTTGAGTCAGAGTCTTGCTCTGTTGCCCTGGCTGGAGTGCAGTGGCATGATCTCAGCTCACTGCAACCTCCGCCTCTTGAGTTAGAGCCAATTCTCCTGCCTCAGACTTCCAAGTAGCTGGGATTACAGGTGGCTGCTACCATGCCCAGTTTATTGGGTATTTCTAATAGAGACAGGGTTTCACTATGTTGGCCAGGCTGGTCTCAAACTTCTGACCTCAAAAAATTTAAGGAGTAATTACAGTAAAGTGTGATAAATGTCAGTCTTGTACCCACCTAGGAACTCGGGGACCATGTGGGATTTCTCACCCTTGAAATTATTGGCATTTGGGGCTGGATCATTCCCTGGGGTGGGCATCTTCTGTGCACTGGAAAATAGGCTACCAACCCACTAGATGCCAGTTGCATCCTCCTTCCCTCCCTGAGTTGTGACGACAAAAATGTTTCCAGATATTTCCTAGAGTCTCTCGGGGGTGGCGTGGAGCAGAAGTGTCCCCCCGTAAGAACCACTGACACAGAGGATCCTCACATAGAAGGAGCTGCTTCTGTCCAACTACACTGTCCCAAAGGATGCCATGGCTCAGGCATTTGGGTTTTGAATTGAACTTCATTATGGATGAACCTGCGGGGCATTATGCTAAGTGAAATAAACCAGACAGAGAAAGACAAATACCACATGATCTCACTTAATATGTGGAATCTGAAAGAGTCAAATGTATAGAAGCAGAGAATAGCATGCTGGTTATCAAGGGCGTAGGGGTGGCGATGCAGAAAATGGGGAGATCTTGGTCACAAAATACAAATTTTAGTTACAAAATGAGTAAGCTCTGGGGATTGAGTATAAAGCATGGTGATTTTTTTTTTTTTTTTTTT